CACAAAACATGGATTCTGGCTACACCACGTGATAGAGGATTTTTCCGCAAATGTAGCAAATGGATTCGTCCACTTTTTCGTTACCAGGGCCTTGCAATAAGCGTTTTTCTGCCGAAATTTCCGCGAAGCGTTACATAACTTTCTCTTCTTAAGTTGCTTCGTAAGGGCGAGTAAGTAAAAAGAGCAGTATCTTAGTGTATGTTGCCGCAGTGTTCTCAGAACGCACATTTAGGGCGTGACAAAGGTAGGGGGAATTAGAATTCAGCGCTCCGAAAACCAAAGAACAGTGAAGGGGAAAAGGTCTTTATTTTTCCTGGATGAACCTTTTTCTTTATTAACCAAGTGAAGACTTTTGGCCAACTGAAGCTTTTGATGGACGTCTTAATTCAGCGACAAATGCGCGGTTTGCTAGCTCTCATCCCACTCCGAAAACGCCATCGCTCCCCGTCACCAGGCCCCATTGCGTCAGGCACGGCCTCCGATGTCGCGACGGAGGGCGCGGCGGCGGCGGCGGCTGAGTGCCTGTACAACTGGGGCACAGGATGAGTGAAAGAATGGCATGAGAAAGCGTTACGTCAAAGCCGCGCCGCGGCAATTGCTCATGATGCGAAGCTTTTGACAATAAATTTCTTTAATTATGGGTATTAAATGTCGCAGAAAAGGGAATTAACCGTTAGTAACTAACTGATATTTTAAATTTGTGGTGCAACAACAGCATATATTGTCTCATATCATTGGTGACATTTGCGTAATGTAATTATATTGCATCGTCTATCGTATTTCAGCTCTCTCGAAAACCGAAACCATGAAACTCAAAATTACTCGAAAACTACTAATATTTTCAAACAAATTAATATGAAATGATTTGAAGATCTACTGATAAGAAATAAAATGCATTAAGAAATTAATCTCTAGCTTCAATTTTGAAGGTGTCTGGCAGAATAAAAAATAGGAAGAGGTTGTATTAGTTGAAATTCCAGAGGATTTATCGAAAAGTCATATATTGTCAATCAAACGTTACTCCATTTTTTTTATTTGGGGACTTTATGAAGAACTTGTTCACGTACTCTTTTTAATTGGCTCAAAATATTTTTAATTCTCATGTTGTGTGTTGATTTTAATGTACCATATGGCCACTTATTTAACGTTAGAAATCGTTAAATGTGTATGTGACGTCCAATGGGTAGAAATGTACTCTGTACACGTTTTCGTAAGTTATGTGATTCTTCCCAAACCTACTTAGTATTTTAGAATTATAGAGTCTAAATGATAACTAATACATTAAATATAATTAATATTAACATTTCTTTCCTTTTTGATGCTCAGCAAATGACACTCTACTGATATTGATTGCTCTCTATTTGATGCTCTCTAATTGTTTAGAAGCAGTTATGAAGCAAAAAATATTTTGACACTAAATTTGTGTATTGGTTTTTATCGTTTAATGTCATCTGACAGTGTGTTGTAAAATAATGTGTGTGATTTTGTTTGTAACAAGCTGTTGACATTGACAGTAGATGAATATGATTTCTATATCGAGTGTTATAGTTGTAGACTTCAGTATTAGCTGAAAATGTTTTCACCCATGAGAAAGACATTTTTTACAAAAACTACTGTTTCGTAAATCAAGAGATAAGGCAACGGTCCCAGCTTAGTAAAGCGAGTCCTATGAGAATCACTTGGATGGGATTTGTTTATTATTCGTACAATTCTTTTCTTGAATCTAAAAGTCTGGGAGCTATATAATGCATTTTCCTACAATATTGTGCCATATCTCATGTGGGAATGAACATTTGCAAAATACCACGAGCAGTATGAAGTCTGAAATTGAAAGAATTCAGTACGTGTAGCATATTGGACTTATTTTATTTTTTTCAATTCATTTAATGGCACGTTCCATTTGAGGTTCGACTGAAGTGAGATACCCAAAAATGTTACCTTAACATCAATCAATGGCACATCGTTCTTTTTCAAAGGAGTATCATTGTTATGAAATGGAAAGCTGCATTGAAATTGTTTTCCCTTCGTTTACTATTGTTACGTTATTACGAAACCAATTTAAAACGTTTGGTATTCTACTGTTTTCAATTTAATTTTAAAGAATATTCGTGACATACAGACATTTTTTAACTTATTTTCTAAAGTCGGTTCCAACCATTTTCTTTTAATATTTTCCTCGTATAGAGCATTAGACGCTTTGCAAATGGCGCAGGTCCCGTTTACCGCGATATATATATATATATATATATATAT